TCCAAACTTTGTGTGCACTCCTCTCCAACCCTCACTGAGCACAAGTCCTCGATCTTACTAGGAGCTCAACAGACCAGAGGGGTAGACTGATAACAAGAGAGAGGGCTGATAACCCAAGTTGTCCACAGGGTTCCAGGGGAATTTAGGGGGAGGCACAGTGTCACGGGCAGGAACATGTCCTACTAGGTGCTGGACCCACACAAGTAGCTTTACATTAGCTCTTTTAAGCTTTACCATCAACCCTTTAGCCACACTGGCCTTTTGCCTTTGCAGTCATGTCACTCCTTTCCACCTCAGGATGTTTGCACATGCTGTCTATGCCTTCCCGAGGATGCTCCTCTTCTGGCCTACTCCTACTCACTCTTTACTTAAGTGTCTTTTTTCCAGGGAGGCCCTCCCCAATCTCCCAGATGGATTTCATCTTTATTACATACTCCCCATTTTTCTACCAACCCAATTTTGAACTATACATTTCTTCTTGAGGATCTGTTTTATCCCATAACTGTCCAAGAAGGCAGGGGCAAATGTCCAGTTTGCTCACAGCTTTATCCCCAGCACTCAGGACAATGCCTGGAATAGAGCAAGCACTTAAGAAAAGAATCCCAACTTACAGTGGGGAAATTGAGATTCAGTGAGGGGAAGCAACTTTCCCCAAATGAATGGAAGAACTTGGCTTTGGACTCAGAACTGTCTGGCTCCAAAAGCTGGTGCTCTGAACCTCTTTGCTAGGTATGTCCTGGCACCCTTGCCCAGGGCCCCTTGTGTCATGGGTTCTGGCTATGTGGGGTGGTGGCAGTCGCCTAAGATGTGAGGACAGAAGTGTTGGCAAACAGATGAAGGCACCTGACCTTGAGCCAGCAAGCAGTCCCTGCCTAGATGGGTAATGGAGGCCTGGCCAGCGGGCCCACGCCTGCCTCCCAGAACAGCCACGCACGATGACTCAGGGTGCTCCCTGGGCCCCACCTGGGGCTCAGTGACACACCAAGTGTGAGGTGTGAGCGGCTGGTTGCAGGCAAGCCCGAGGAATTCTGTCCTTGCCCCCTCAGTCCCCAGCCCCCCTCCCCGCTGCCCTCTGGGAACACCTTGTAGGTGGATCTGGTTTCCTCTCTATTCCTCTGTTTGCCTGAATCTGAGCAGCCCCTTGTGTCCCACTCCCCCCACCCACTGTGGGCAGGGCCTGCACTGCCAGGTTTGGTGTGGTGGGCAGGTGTGGACTGTGGCCTTGGCCTTGGGGACCCGCCCTGGGTCTCAGGCGCCAGGGTGCCCTGAGCAGAGTGTGCGTCATTTCTCACTCGTGCTCTGGAGGTTTCCTGTAGGAGGGGTTTCAGTTGGGAACTCAGAAGGCTGCCCTGAGCCCTGAGAGGGTATGAGAGTGAGCTAGAAGAAATCACTCACCCAAGCCAGGGCTCTGCGAGCCTCCCCCATCCCTGAGACCCTCTTCCGTGGTCTGGATCCCTGTGACAGGGAACTTGGTGGGGGGTAGGGGGAGGGGACGGTGCCCAGGGGCTATGGGAGGAGGGCCTCATTTCCGGACTGTAGGACTGTCCAGTGCAGCAAGCTCCTCTTGACACTGGAAGTAGGGCCAGATGTGGAGGGCACTGGCAGATGTGGGGAGCAGGGCTGCCCATGGGGAGCAGTGGGGCATTCATCCATCAACCCCTCCTGGCGAGCCCTGATGCCTGCGCTGTATTTATGGCCCCTGACAACCATGTGTGGGCGGCTTCTCATGAGGAGACTGAGACCAAGGTCCCAGGGTTGGGAGGCAGCCCCTTCTTTCTCTACTCCATGGCCGGGCCTCCTGAGCCCCAGTGAGGAGTGCCAGATGGAGGGAGCAGAGAGACCGAGAGAGAGCTTGGCAAGCCCTGGAGCAGATACGCAGGGACAGCCCGGAGGTGGGTGAAAGGCCTGGACTTCGTAGCCCTCAGGGAAGAGCAGGGCTGGCAGTGACCAGGGTTCCCTCAGTGTAGGTAGAAAATTGACCAGATAAGTCCAAAATTCAGGGGAGAGCCAGCTGTGACAATCAAGCACATGCACTGTTAAGTTCTCACCTCGCTGTCCCCCAGGCAGATGGGTGTCTTGTCCCCATCCGCACCACCCCCTCCCGCCCAACGCAGGCAGCCCCGGAATTCTGCGGGTTGCCACATGCTGCTCTGAGCTGTGTGTGGGTTCAGGCTGCCAGGAAGGTGGAGGGAGGAGGTGGCTGAGGACAGGGGTTGGAGGGCTCTGGACCCCGGCTGGAAATGGGCTCTCTCACCAAAGCCACCTGGGTAGAGGTACCCCAGCTGGAAGCTTCTGGTCAGGGAGGCGGGTCCCAACTGTCCCAGCACTGTCAGGCCTGGATGTTTTGGGCCATCCCCACCCCGACATGAATGTCTCTGCTGAGCATGCACATGCAGGACCCCAGAGGGGCTGCTTTTCTGGCTCTGGCCTCCCCTGCTCACCCAGCTCTGCCAACCCCTCCTCTGTCCGGCTCCAGCATCTTGGACATGGGGTGCACATCCCGGGGTGACAGGCTCACACGGGGACCAGGAGAGGAGGTAAAAAAGGCTAGGGCCTTCCCAGGGCTCCAATCACATCTCAAGCAGGTGCTGGGCTCACCAGAGAGCTTGGCAGGAGCCTGGGAAAGGTTTACAAACAACACACTTGCCACCACCCGTGGTGTAAGTTTCCCGTGTCTTAGGCATTCACACAATGCCATCAAGATTTTTTTGTACTCCCTGTTTAACTTTTTATTTGACATTTAACATTTTATATTAGTGTTTTGTATCATCCATTTAAATAGTTACTGCATTTTGGTACATCAGCTCACCTGTCATTTTAACAAATAGATGCTTATGAAGGAAATCCTATACTACTCTGTTACTACCAAAAAATGAAAATCAGAATCACTTGCCGGAAATAGAAGGAAATGATATAAGTAAATACTTAACTTCTAACTAGATGCTGTTGCTTCCTGTAGGTTCTGAGCCCAAGGCCAGCTTTGGTTTGTGAAATGGCGATTGGCGACTAGGGAGGTATGTTGAAGGGGCTGTAGGGTCCAACTGGGATTTTCTCCTTGACTGATCAGAAGGTTGAAAAATAGAAAAAGGAATGTTTTCTTCACCATGTGACCCAATATTATTTCATAGTCTCCATGCATTGCTTAAAAGCATCTCAAGAAACACTGGTCCTTTATGAAGCCTGAGCATCCTGTAGCTACAGCCCAGAGGTCATCGCCTTTTCCAGAAGCTGTTGCTGACCCCCTGGTGTCTCTCTTCTCACCTGTAGATCTTAGCCTCTCCTACCTGGAATACCAGTTATCTTTCCTTTACTCCATATGTGTTGGGATCTTACTTGGATGAGACATGGTGCTGGGCACTGGGACAAGGACCAGTTGAACAATGGAGCAAAGTGCAAAGCCAGAGGAAGAGGATGCAGGAGGGCTTCATGGAAGAGGGGACACACAAATGGGTCGCCAAAGATGAGTAGGAGTCTCTGGGTAGAAAAGATGGAGGGATATTTGAATTGCTGCAAACTGGAAGCTCTGAGCATTATCTGAGGTTTGAGGGGCATTAGGGAGCATTGCAGGATTTGGTTAGGGGGTCTGGGGAACGATGGCGGATAAGGCTGGGATGGAAAGATCAGTATGAGCCTTGAGTGCCAGGAAGGTGGACCTTATCTTGGAGGTGAAGGGAAGTGACTGGAGTGATATGGTCAAGTCTGGGTTTGGAAAGACCACTCCGGCTGCTGTGTGGAGGAGGAGTCAGGACTGAGAGAGGCAGGGAGAGGAGCTATGAGTGGATGGCAAAGATCCAGGTGAGGGCAGAGTCCAGAGGGCTGCTGGGGTTGAATGACCAGAGGCAGTCACACCGTTTCTCGAGCACTTCTCATGGGTCTCTACCTAGGAAACGGGCACCCCATTAACAACATCCTTTTACAGAGGAGGGAGCAGAGGCACGGAGCACATACATAACTTGCCAGAGTCACACAGCTTGTGAGTGGGGAGCTGGGGTTGACTCAGGTAGTCTGGCACCAGAGCCCCCCACCTTCCTTATCTCTGTCTTCTGGTCTTGCTCACCAGAACATGCTTCTCACTTTCTGGCCGGAGTAGGGGGCTTGCAAGTTCCAGGAGGGCTGGAAAAGCCACACATCTCTGTATCCCTCCCAGTGCTCAGTATGGGCTAGGCAATCAACCAATATCTATTCCATAGCCCCTGCTGGGCCCTGCTGGAGGACCAGGACAGTCGAGCCCCTTGCCTTCGTCCTCAAAGGTCAGCCAGCACCAGCACCGTTTTATGTATTTGGTCCTTCTCCTGCGTCTTTTGTGTGAGCCCCGGTTGCCATTTCCGAGTGCTGGTGGTCATGTTGCTTTGTCACAGTCTTGGCCTCTCTGCCATGCCACTTGTCTCCTTCATCAGACTGGAGTCTCTGGGAGCAAGGACTGGGCTCCCCATCAGACCGGGGCTCTGAGAGGGCGGGGCTGGTCTTCTCGCCCTCACTGGCTGCTCTCTGCGGGCAGGGTACAACTCCTTGGTACCCCAGTCCTACCACCCACACAGTGGGCACTAAGTTGGGAGCAGGGACGGGTGCAGACAGTGATAATCATCAATGTGGGAGGTGACTCTGCTCCTGGGAGTTTCCCTCCCAGAGGGGCTAAGCCTCAGACCCGCTGTCAGGCCGGCCAGAGACCAAACCCCAAGATCTAGGTCACCCCCTTGGCAGCAGAGCTGATTTATGGCACCCCTGACAGCCTAATATCACCAAATTACCCCACACAATGGAGAGAGGCTGGGCTGCCTCTGGGCAGTCAACAAAGGACGCTGAGCCTGGGGCAGCCCTGCCTTCTCCTGATCCCAGACCTCCTTCATGTCCGAAGGGGGAGGCTGGTGCAGACAGAGGGCACACCTAGGCGTGCCACCTTCAGCTGGGGGTATAAGTAGGAAGGCCTGGGGATGGCTTGGTACCCTGCACTCGGGAGCTAGCAGCGCTCCAACAACTTCTTCCTACTCGACGAGCCAGCCATGAGTTGCAGACAGTTCATGTCCTCCCCGTGGAGCCGCAGCAGCTCTGGGGGCAGCGGGGGCAGCATGATGTCCTCCTTCAGCCGCATGAGCGGCTCGGGAGCTGGTGGAGGAGGGGGCCGGTTCAGCTCTTCCAGTAGCTATGGAGCCAGGAGCTCTGGGGCCTGTGGGAGGGGAGGTGCTGGCAGTTTTGGCTCCAGCTACGGTGGGATGTCTGGGGGAGGCTTTAGTGCTGGTAGCTTTGGTGGACGTTCTAGGGGCTTTGGTGGTGGTTCTGGAGGATGCTTTGGGGGCTCTGGGGGCTTTGGTGGTAGTTCTGGGGGAGGTTTTGGAGGTATTTCTGGAGGAGGTTTTGGAGGTGTTTCTGGAGGAGGTTTTGGCGGTGTTTCTGGAGGAGGCTTTGGTGGTGGCTCTGGAGGAGGCTTTGGAGGTGGTTCTGGAGGAGGTTTTGGGGGGTTTGGCAGTGGCTTTGACAGTGGTGCCGGTGGTATTCTGGGTGCTGATGAGAAGACCGCCATGCAGGACCTCAATTCCCGGCTGGCCTCCTACTTGGATAAAGTGCAGGCACTGGAGAATGCCAACAAGGAACTGGAGAATAAGATCCGGGAATGGTATGACAAGCAGGGACCTAGGACCTTCCACAGGGACTACTCGCCCTACTATGACACTATCGAAGACCTCAAGAACCAGGTAAGTGGGGAAACTCTCTTCCCTCTCTCCTGGTCTCTCTGTATCTCTCTCTCTCTCTCTCTCTCTCTCTCTCTCTCTCACACACACACACACACTCACATGCTTCATCTTTCAAAAAGGTCAGATGTTAGACCCCAGGCTTAGGTAACAGGGAATCCATCTTTTAAGAAACATTATGCTTTCATCAAAAACAAAATGTTTGGTTCTTGATGGTACCAGGGCTGGGATTTTGGCCTGGGCTCTGGGCTTTCACCATCATGTTCCTCACTTTCAGAGTCTGAACAGAGCAGAAAAGAGGCTTAGATGAACATGGGTGAACCTGGGACTGGATGTAGGGGGTCTCCTCCTGGCCTGGCCATATTGGAAATGAAGAGGCAGTGTGGAGGGAGCACAGAGATGGAGGCGCTCTGGTGAGAGCCACTGATGCAGTCCTGGGTCTGCCATCAATTCACTGTGTGATCCTGGGAAACCTGATGCCCTCTCTGCACCTGTTCTATGTATTTAATGCAGAGGATGGGCAGACCAGCTCTTAGGTCCTTGTTGATTTGAAACTTCTATAATCACATGAAAAACAGGTAAGAATGCTACTGCCCCCAAACAGGTAGGTCATATGGCTCAAGAGAGGAGAAAATCTGTGCCTGCCTCTCCCCTCACTCTCTGAGAATTTAGAGCTTTCTAGTTTGGGAAATTAGAAGCTGTATTTCTTCCTTCCTACTTCTCCTGGACCTCTATAGAGGCTTGTCTCAATCTTTCCAGGTACACATGCTAGTTGTTTACGTGATGAACAGGATCTAGAACTCTGGGGATAGAAGTAATCTATCCACTCTTCCATTCTCCCCCATGTTTCTCCCATCTGCCCACCCTCCCACCATCCATCCGTCTATCCACTCATCCATCCATCCAAATGTCCATCTATCCATTTATTCATTCAGTCAATTTAATGAATGACTACCCTCAGTGTTGCCCTTGGCAGACATAGTGATGTAGCAGACTTGGTCTCTGTCTTGAGGAGCTCACAGTCTAGCCAATTTGCTGTTCCCACCTGTTCCCCTTGCCTTTACAAATTCTGATAAACAGCCTCTAGATATGCTGTTTCTTCTACCCCAAACCTATTCCATCTATTTATCCATGTGGAATCTTAGATGCACAGGGACAAATTCAGTTGTCACCTCCTTCCTGAAATCTTTCTTGATCTCCTATAGCCATATGTCATCTTTCCTTTCCTTGAGTTCTTCTATGATAACTTTGGATGTGGTAGTTGACTGTGGGCTCCTTGAGGAGCAATATCTCATTGATCTCTAAACTCCACAGTGTCTTTTGTAATAGATCTTTAAATATTTGTTGAGTGAATGAATGAATGAATGAATGCCACACTGAACATCCTTGCTGAAGCCCATGAGAGTTCTGTGGGTCGTACCAGCTGTTGGAAGCTCCTTCTACCTCTTAAGCATCTTCCGGGATGGAGTCCTCATCTCTTACAGATTTGCCTGGCTTCTTGCCCTCCCAGCAGGGAATCATAGCAGGGGAGCATGAGTTCCATGCCATCTCCTCTTTTTTTTTAGATTGTGAACATCACAGTGAACAGTAATAAGACTCTCTTGGATCTTGACAACACTCGCATGACACTGGATGACTTCAGGATGAAGTGAGTTCTGCTCCCACTCCCTCTGCTGTCATCAGTCTTTCCCCACCCTGTAGTGCTCTGAAGGTCCCTATAGGGACAGGTGCCCTCATTCCCTACTGTGGCTGGTGTGCAGGTATGAGATGGAGAACAGCCTACGACAAGGAGTGGATGCTGACATCAATGGCTTGCGGAAGGTGCTTGATGATCTGACCATGCAAAAGTCTGACATGGAGATGCAGTATGAATCTCTGCAGGAGGAAATGATGGCCCTCAAGAAGAATCATGAGGAGGTACGGTGCTGGGTACTTGTGGCTTATTGAGGAGAGGGAGGAACAGAAATGCAGAGACAGTGAGGGGACAGCTATGGGGCACTGCTTGGGAGACACCCTCTCCCTGACATATGAGGACACTTCCAGCGCCTCCTTTGCACTGCCTATGATGGTAGTTGTGCTTTGCCTTCACAACTGTGCCTCCTTTTTGAACCTCTGGGGAGAGAGAAGGTGAAGGCTATAAGTTGGTGGAGAGGATCTCACCCCTTGACTTCACATCTCCTTTGTTCCTGGCAGGAGATGAATCAGCTGACTGGGCAGAACTCTGGAGATGTCAGTGTGGAGATAAATGCTGCTCCTGGCAAAGATCTCACCAAGATCCTCAATGACATGCGTGAGGAGTATGAGCGGATCAGTGCTAAGAACCGCAAGGACATTGAAATGCAATATGAGACTCAGGTGAGCAGAGTGGGCTGTCCATTCAATCTCTCTCTCTCTTCCACGGATCCCTCCACTCCTCCACCCCATCTCTCTATTCGCCCACCCCTCCATCTCTTAGTTCAGCTGTCACCTATCCATCTTCATTCATTAAACCACAAACACAATTATTGGGTAGCTTGTCAGTAGCAGGTTTTATGTGAAGTCCTGATGTCTCAGAGATGAGCCAGATAAGACTGCTGCCCTCAAGAAGCTCATGGTTTATTACATATGTGAACCAGGCAGAGCATGAAGAACTCATGTAAGGCTATGTGCCCTCAGAATCTCGTAGAGGTACATAGTATGCCTCTCATGCCACACTGAGCTCTCTGATGACTCCCTTCCTCCTTGGTCCTCCAGTGCTTAGCATAGACCCTGGCACACAAGAGCATATCTATAGTGTGTGTGTGTGTTTGGGGGTCAGTTTGAAATAAGGTTAGAAAGGTGGTTTGGGGACAAGTGTGAAGAGCCTTGAAGCCTTGCTGAGAGGGAATGTTCAGTTGGGGGAATTTGATTACCCTGGCTGGCTAGCAGACCCAGAACTCAGGATTACTTGTCTTTGTTTTTGGTTCACTCCTGGCCCCAGAGGTAAAGGTCCTGATGGGGGGTGGGCACAGAACCTTGCCCCTGGAAGTCTCTGGTCCAGCCTGGTTCTCATTGAGCTCTTGGATTTTAGATGAGCCAGATGGAGCACGAGGTGATGACCAGTGGCCAGGAGATGGAGTCCAACCACAAGGAGGTGACCCAGCTCCAGCGCAGCATTCAGGAGATGGACATTGAGCTGCAGTCTCAGCTCAGCAAGGTTGGTGGTTCTGCTCTAGATCCTCTGTCAGGGTGAAGCACTGAAGGCTTGGCATGATCCCTGGAGTGAAGGGGAGGAACTATGATGTAGCATCCCTCTTACAGCCTCCTTCTGCCTCCTAGAAATCGGCCCTGGAGAAGTCCTTGGAAGACACCAAAAACCGCTACTGTGGCCAGCTGCAGCAGTTGCAGGGGCAGATCAGTAACCTGGAGGGCCAGCTCACTGAGATCCGGCAAGAGATTGAATGCCAGAATCAAGAATACAGCCTTCTGCTCTGCATTAAGACACGGCTGGAACAGGAAATTAAGACCTACCGCATCCTCCTTGAGGGTGGCCAGGAGGACTTGTAAGTTCCCCGGGACTCCATGGAATCCCTAGGAATTTCTATGCTCCTGACACTACATCTGTCCCTCTAGATAGAGGCAGCTGGGGAAGTTCCTGTACACAAGGGTCTGATGGGTTGAGGACTTCTTCATTCTGTAGAGGAACCTCAAGGCATTTGGGTTTTGGGAAAGGAGGTTGGTAAAGATGAGAGAAAGGACTAGTCCTTGCTCCAGGGAGAGAGAGGCTCTCTCTTCAAGTTGTGATGCCAGCCCGGCCTGTCCTCTGCTTTGCAGAAGGAAACCTTAGGAAGTCTCATATTTGGGTCTTGACTCTGTCCAGGTCCATCCTTAAATATGTATGTGGGGTCACTAATTTTTCTCTCTGTGTTATCTTTCCTTCCCAGTGAATCTCATGAATCTGGACGAAGCCACTTTGGAGGTGGCAAAAATAGATATCAAGGTGGAAGTGGAGGCAGTCATGGAAGAGGATCCTGGGGAGGAAGTGGTGGCAGCTATGGAGGAGGAAGTGGAGGCAGCTATGGTGGAGGAAGTAGCTCTGGAGGAGGAAGTAGAGGCAGCTATGGTGGAGGCAGTAGCTCTGGAGGAGGAAGTGGTAGTGGCTATGAAGAAGGCAGTGGATCCAAAGGAAGTGGAAGATCATCTCAGTCCCAGTCCTCTTCCTCCAAATCTGGTGAATGTGATGATAAACAAGGTAAGGGACAACTCTAGCTTGTGAGGTCAGGGGGGCATAGGTTTTAAGCTGTCAAGTTAACCACCCCTTTTTGAGTATCTTTGAGCTTTCTGGGAAATGAGTATTCTGAACAGAACTAGATTTTAGGGAGGTGTATACACTCTAATGAGGTGTAATACATTTGCCCTTGTTTCTGAATTGTCATTCATTAATTTTGATAGAGTTTTGGGTGAGGCTAGGACCAAATCTACACATGTTCTGAGTCTCAATAGCATAGGAGATGGGTTGGAAAGTGTGCATTATCTTATATATTTCCCACCACACCCTATGAGGTGGGTATTGTTTTACCTGTTTTAGAGATAAGGAAAATGAGGTTCAGAGAAGATATGTAGCTTATTCAAGGTCATACAACTAACAATTGAGGGACTCAGCTCTGTGGGTCTCTACAGCCAGTACTTTTAATCATCATGAGGGTGGGGAGACCTGGATTAGCATTAGTTCAGGTAGAAAAGAGGTTCAGGTGTTGTAGCCAATGGTTGGCTCATACAAGTCTGTTATATGGTGCAACCATCTAAAAAAGCAGATACTGAACATAATAATCTAAATGTAGAAGAATCACACAGTCAAGTGGTCTCCAGGTCAGAGAAAGTTTCCCCTCTTGTATGTTGAATTTTATAAAATAAAAATTTAATATGAAATTGTAGTAAAAGCCTGGGTAACACAACTGGGAATGTTTAGCTCAGAGAAGCCTTGAGGTGTGTGGGAGCTCTCCTTCTCTAGGGTGTCTGATGTGGTTTTGTGTGTTAAGTGGCACTGCAGGGCCATGGATGTGGTTGAGGCCTTGCCTCAGTATATAAGAAATTTACTAATATAGCTGTTGAGTGGAGAAAGGGTCAGGCTCATGAGCCTTCATCCTCAGAAATGGAAGGGTATCGGGGCTGAGACTGGGTGGCTCAGTCAGTTAAGCATCTGCCTTTGGCTCAGGTCATGATCTCTGGGTCCTGAGATTGAGCCCCACATCAGGCTCCCTGCTCAGTGGGGAGCCTGCTTCTTCCTCTCCATCTGCTGCTCCCTCTGCTTGTGCTCTCTCTCTCTATCAAATAAATAGAATCTTAAAAAAAAAAAAAAAAGAAATGAGAGAGTATATGTTAGGGCCGCTGCAGGAGAGGTTTAGGAATTAGATGGGGGCCACTGGGACCCCCGGGTTCTTCCAGCTCTTCAAGCTCCAGTCTCCTTGCTCCCAGTGTGCCCTTCTTTCTTTAAGTCTCATTCTCTTTCTCATCTTCTAAGTTCTCTCTTCACACTCTTACCTCTCTTCCTCTCTCCACAGGCTACCAGAATCAATATTAGAGCTCCTGTAAACATTCCTGGCCCTGCCCCAGCTGAGTGTCCTCCAGACAGGCAGCCTCCCAATGAAGCCTGCTCATTGTCTTCTGGCATCAGGCACAGCTGGCTACGAGCCCCAGAGCTCATTTGGGACTGCCCTGAGTGGGTCTCTGTCTGCCCATTGACTCCCTCCCTTGGGAGGGTTGGGGAGACCTCTCTTCCACTGTCTGGTCTCGGGGTGATCCCACTCCCTGCCTGATTTCAAGTTCCTAATAAAGCATTCCTACTGCAAATAAAACTTGGGCTTTGACTGATTTGTTCTTTGGGATTAAAAAAGAGCAGAAAGGAGGTGAAGGGAGAACCCACTGAATCCACTTTGAAAAGTGTTGGTTGGGTTTTCTGTAAGTTGACCTTTGCTTGTAACAAAACAACCCATAATTTAGTGAATTCAGATGACAACCATTTATTTAGCTCATGATTTTGCAGTTGGCAGTTTAGACTGGCAGTTCTATTTTCCTTCATGCATCTATGGTCAGCTATAATTTGGCCAGTGGCTCTGCCTCTGGGGCTTGGCTACGTGCTGTTGGGGTGTTGGGGGATGAATGAGACACATGACTCTCATCCTCCAGCTGGCTACCCCTAGCAAGTGTCCCAAGGGAGTGAGTAGAAGATGCAAGACCTCTTGAGGCTTAGGCTCAGAGTAATCACTTTGGCCGCATCTTACTGTCCAAAGCAAGTCCCAACCTTGCCAGATTCAAGAGCAGGGGAAATAGACTCTTCTTGATGGTGGGAGCTACAAAGTCACATGGCAAGGACATGGATATAGGAAGGGCCATAATTGAGGCCAGTTTGTGCAAATGGTGTGCCATAGTCTATTAGCAGGTCATGTGTTAGGTACAGAGGGAAACAGGACAAAAACAATGTGATTTTGCTTTGGAAGATTTCACAGATGGTAACAAATACAGTGCAAATAAAGTGCTCCAAGGCACAGTAAGGAATATTCCACAAGACAACAGCCAACAATGTTCTCCAGGGATTCTGACTGGGCCTGATACAAAACTCCTTGTTCTAACTATGGACAGATGGACTCTCAGCCCATGTTTCAGATATTACAGCTGCTTATCAAACCTTCCCAAAGTTTGGAGGCTTAAAAGAATTACATTTGTTTGAGGGCTTGGTGGGGACAGCTCACCTCATCTCCACTTGTCACTGTGGCTTACAGGCTCAGGGCTGGAGTCATTTGAAGTCTTGCTCATATGTCTGGCCCCTGGGCTAGAAAGACTCAGATGTGGGGCTGGCCCCACAGGGGCTCCTTAGCAGTTTTGTATGGAGATTCTCAATGTGATCCCTCCAGCAGGGCAGCTTTGGGGTAGCCAGACTTCTTCTATGCTAGAGCTGGGAAGAAGCTGTTTTGCTTTACTCTCTAGACTTAGAAGTCATGTTATGTCCTTTCTGCTGTAGTCATGGACCTGCTCAGATCCAAGAGAGGAAGCATAGACCTTGCAGTGGGAAGGATTCTAAGATGACCCCAGTTATTCAAACAAACACGGATCTAGGTACTGCTGCGAAGGGATTTTGGAGAAGTAATTAATGTTTCTAATGTGTTGACCTTAAGACAGATTATCTGGTGGGCCTGACATAGTCACATAAGCTTTTTATTTTTTTAATTTTAAAATTTTTTTTTTATTTTTTAAAGACTTATTTATTTATTTTTCAGAGAGAGAGAGAGAGAGAGAGAGGGCACAAGCAGGAGGAGTAGCAGGCAGAGGGAGAAGCAGGCTCCCCACCAAGCAAGGAACACTCTGTAGGACTTGATCCCAAGACCTTGGGATCATGACCTGAGCCGAAAGCAGACACTTAACCAACTGAGCCACCCAGGCATCCCCCACATAAGCTTTTTAAAAGGAAAGAGTTTTCTCTGGCTTGTCATAGAAGAGGAAGTCTGAGATTTGAAGCACAAGATTTTGACATGCCACTGGTGGCATGAAGATGAAAGGTGCATGTGGCAAGAAATGTGGGTGGCCTCAAGGAGCTGAAAGCCACCAAGAAAAAGGGGATCTCTGCCCTCCGGATTTCTCATTGGATTCTCCAAATGAGAACTCAGACTGGTCGATACCTTGATTTCAGCCTGGTGATATTCTTTGTAGAGAACCAGCCACACCTGCAGAGCTGTGATCTAATATATGGGTGCTGCTTTAAGCTTCTACATTTGCAGTAATTTGTTAAGCAGAAATGGAAAACAAGTATAAACTCCATCTCAAGATGGAGGACTGTCAATATCACAGGGAAGATCAGCATGTAGAAGGGGATATATTGATCTTTGGAAAACACAGTTTGCCACGATTGGCCAAATTATTGGGGGAGAGGTTACATAAAGGTAAACATAGGACACCAATGGCACAGAAGCTCAGGAAAAGTCAAGATCCTGGGGTTTATGAAGATGGAAGCTGAATGGTATCTCTGGGTCCAAGATGGCTCTAGCTGGTTGCAGGAGCAGTGAGAGTTTGTGATTCTTTTGCTAGGACTCCACCCCTTACTGTGCAGCTGGTTACTCTGTTTCCTTGTTCTCTTCCTGCTCCTAGATGTCTTCCTCTCCTACCACTTTATATCTTCTTTCTACCTCCACTTGGAGAACTGCCCATCTTGAGTCTGAGGCTCCCCAAGGGAAAAGCCAGAAACTTGTTTTCCCAAACTCCCTTGCAGCAAGGGCATGAGCATGTGACACAGCTCTGCCAATCAGGTGTTCCCACACAAGATTGACTTGAATGTGAAGGAAGCGCTGGGTAGAATCTAATATGGCAGGAACAGAGCTGATGCAGAGACACATGGTTTATTGGGGCCACAGAAATGGTGGCTCTGCAGGGATATTCAGTGCCCAACATCAACTGTTTGAGCTGCAATTCTGTGCCCAGTAGCAATGGCAGTAGTGTTTTCTTGGCACAATCCTTTAGAGTGATTTGGGCAATGTTTCTGGTTGCCTATACCCCAAGTCTGATTCTCTGAATATCCTGGGAATGAAGTACTGCTTTCTCTGTAGCTGAAAGCAAACATTTTCTGTTATTCTTTGCTTATTAGGGTAAAGAAAAAAGAGTTTTCCACATCAGAGTCCAGGGATGATGGTGGTCTGTTTTAGTAAGTAGACCAAATCTGGATCAATGATTGCTATTGGAATACCTATGTGTTAAATTATAAAGTAATCATTCCCTAACAACTGTCTGTATTCTACACAGGGAAAATGGCAAGTTAGTTGGGAAGAGATCAGAGTCTACAATGCTGAATTTATCAAATCTTTTCAGTGGCACTAATCTCTGTCATTCTCCTAGTGGTATAGTGTAGCATTATTGGTTCTTCTTACCACAATAATCCTTACTGTATGAATCAGAGAGCCATTTACTGACTATATTGATTCTGCTTCAGACATTAGGAAATAACAACAGGATAGATCCCGTGTACTACTGGGCTCACAAGAAGCAGACTTAAATCAAAACTCTTTTGCTATCTGATCTTTTGTACTGGTCAGATTCTCAGTTGCAACCAACAAAAGCTACTCTTCCTCCTCCTATTTTAACAAGTAAGGGATTTATAAGAGTTCTAGATAACTTGAAAAGTCATTAGGAGGGCTGGAGAAACAAAATTGAGACTGAATTTCTAACATCTCCCCAAATGACACATCAGAATGGGTCTGCCAAGGGAGTTGCTGCCTCTCCATGAGTAGGAAGTTTCCAAGTCAGGATGTGGCCAGCTGAATTAAGAAACAGCATCCACAGCTAAGACCTCAGAACCATGTTGTCTCTGTCATCACACCAGCAAACTGGCTGCCCCAAGTGGAGCCCATTTCCTCAGATACTTCCCTTCTAAATTAAGGCTCACATGGTACAGAACCTCATTTTAGTGGCAAAGGAGGCTGGGAAATGTAGTTTTTGGATGTACCTGGAAAAGAACAGTAATCAAAATGATATAACATATACCCACATTATCTTCCAGTCTAACTGGTAAACCACAGAGTTTTTATGCTAACCTCCAATTTTCAGAAATTAAAGTTAGTGTGGAGTTAGTGTCCAATAATCCACGAAGGTCTGGGTATTTCTCTTCCCCCAATATATGGCTACTCTTGTAAATGCCCACAGGTTCCTGTGGGGAAGATTGGAAGTAGACATACACTATGCGCTTATGATGTTATTGCAAAGACCTTCCTCAAGGATACCTGGACTTCCCTTTATTCAAAGTCCTCTGCATCCCTGAGCTAGTTCTGGTTTTGGAATTATGAGTCGGTCATTCTCTATCATGGGGTTAAGACAGGCCTCTTTTTGACCCAAAGTTTTCTTTTTGGAGTGTGGGATAGGGAATTGGGGGCACATATGGAAGACCCACTTGCTTATATTGGTCACACATCCTTCTAGGAGCATTTCTGTACTCTAAAGCCTGGTAATCTTAGACCTGGCTTTCCCAGACTCCCTTACAGCTATGGCTGTAGGTGCAATTTAAATTTTCCCAGTCACGTATGCTTCAGTGGGACATGAGTCGAGTGGGGAGAGGTCCAGAGTAGGTAATGTTTTTGCTGGTATAGATCTACTAGGTACTATATGGTTCTGGGGTCAACAGATCCAGTTCTGGCTTACAGATTCCCAAGCTTTCTGATTGTGACATACCAGGAGTTCCCTTGGGCACTGGTTCTGTGATGTTAACCTGGGAGGTATTCCTTGAGGCCCAATCTAGAGTCTGCTTCTCCAGTCTTCTTATGATTTTGTAAGCAACTAATGCTCTGTATTAAATTCCGTTCTGTTAAAAAAGGTGAAGTTTGTTTCTGTTACTTAAAATGGAATCTTGACTGAATCAGGACCCTGGTGGGCTGCTCATATATTTTGGTCTTAGACACCCATGACCAACTGACCATAATCATAGATCCCTACAGATTTTTATCGTCCTACCTACTATTCTAACCCTCCAGCATTAAAATTCCCCTATTTGTCCTCTGACACTTAGAATTCCATTGTTATCAAAATAGGGATCTTCATTCAGTGGTA